TTTTCAGGAATGCATACATTGCATTATTGTAGAACTGACTTAATGGAGTTTTGCCAGGGTATGTTTTGCATTGAAAAATTCACAATTCAGAATATACAACATATACTATATATTTTTAAGCAAGTAAAAATATATAAAACGACAGAGTGCTAACAGAAAAGGAATAGAACTGATAGTGTATACAATTTTCTTCTGTTATACCTTTGTCTTTTTACAAATCTAAATATTTTACATAATTTTTATACAATATTAAATCAAGGTGAAATTTGAAAAATCCATGCAATGAAAGGTGAAATGAACAAAAAAGCGAGCTTGTATGTCAGCATGATTGCCAGTGCAGGCAAGATTTTTTTTAAAAGCCTTCATATGGTTTTTTTTTTTTTTTTTTTTTTTTTTTTTTTTTTTTTTGAGACGGAGTTTCACTCATGTTACCCAGACTGGAGTGCAATGGCACGATCTCGGCTCACCGCAACCTCCGCCTCCTGGGTTCAGGCAATTCTCCTGCCTCAGCCTCCTGAGTAGCTGGGATTACAGGCATGCACCACCATGCCCAGCTAATTTTTTTTTTTGTATTTTTAGTAGAGACGGGGTTTCACCATGTTGACCAGGATGGTCTCGATCTCTTGACCTCGTGATCCACCCGCCTCAGCCTCCCAAAGTGCTGGGATTACAGGCTTGAGCCACCGCGCCCGGCCTCATATGGTTTTAAACTTAGACACACATGAATACACACACACATATGCAACTGAATATAAGTAAAAGTAATGAAATCTGAATGAGAACGTTGGAGAGGATCATTAACAGTATCTTTGTTTTGATTTTATAATATAGTGTTGCAAATGTTATTCTGGAAGAAACTAGATAATGTAATATATACACAAGATCCTTCAGTATTATTTTTTACAGCTGCATGTAAATCATTAATTATGTCTATATGCATGTTCAATTTAAAATTATATGTGTATATACAAGGCAAAAAATACAAAATATTTAAATGTCATGTCTATAATCATGTTTTGCCAAAATGTATTGGTATCGATACATTGAAAAAATAAGCAATATTACACTAAGAATGTGTGCAATATTACACTAAAATTAGGTAATTTTAAGGAACTATAGAAGCATAATGTAAAACTATTAAAATATGAGGATCAGAAATAAATAATAGTGGAGACAAACTATAGCCAAAGATTACATTCCTAAAGATATTTTTACTATATAGGTGTCTTATTTAATAAGACTCCAATATAAGTGGTAATTTTTCTAAAGTTTCTCAAGTAATTATGAAATATCAAAATTATAAACAAAAACTAAAGAGAAATGAAGACAATAGGTAGCAACAAAATCTAATTGCTAAATATGGGGGGGAAAGGCCAGGCGCGGTGGCTTATGCTTGTAATCCCAGCACTTTTAGGGAGCGAATCACTTGAGGCCACTTCGAGACCAGCCTGGGCAACGTGGTGAAACCCCTTCTCTAATGAAAATACAAAAATTACCCGGGCGTAGTGGCGCCCGCCTGTAGTCCCAGCTACTTGCGAGGATGAGGCAGAATTCCTTCAGCCTGGGAGGCAGAGGTTGCAGTGAGCAGAGATTGCACTGCACTTCAGCCTAGGCAACAGAGTGAGACTCTGTCTCAGAAAATTAAAAAAAAAAAAAAGGAAAAAAAGAAGATATAATGTTTTTGCAATCTCATTCTCATTTCAGTTCCACTTATGATGATAGATAAATTATGTAATTTAAGTCACTAACATTTGGGGACAAAAATCAGAATAAACACATACGTGTGGGATAAGGGGATGCTGATCCCACTGTTAATGAATCACCTTGGTTGGATACCAAGGTTTTATCATGCAGATGAAACCTCCAGGTAGCAAGCTTCAGAGAAATAGATTATAAAGGTTTCTTATCAGACTGAAGGTCTATGTTGATGTTATTGAGGTAAGGGTAGAATGAGGCATGTCCAATCCCCTCTTCCATCATGGCCTGAACTAGATTTTCAGGTTAACTCTATAATGCTGAGAGGAGGGGTCCATTCAGACAGTTGGGAGGCCTTTGAATTTTATTTTGGGTTTATAATCTCTACATTTAAAAAGAAAAAAGGACTGCGTCAATTGTCAATTGTCAACATTTTTAATGTACTGTATGCAATCTATGTCAACTTTTGTGCTGAGAAATGAAGATCAAATCGTATTCGTATACCACGTGTATGTGATAGGCTTTGCTGACCTAGTTTGATGGGTTTTTTCTTTGTCCTCTCCCTCTTGAACTGGGTTCACAAGGCACCGTGGACTGCCGCGTGGCAGGAACTACACCACCCAGAATACTGTGCGCCGAGCGTGCCGGGGCCTCGGACTAATCAGTGCCCAGGAAAGGGGCAACTCCGCGAGTGCGCAGTACGTCAGAGCAGGAACTTCCGGCGCCTTCCCGGCGGTGGTCATTTTGGCTGCCAGTGTGTGCGTCCGCCCGTTAGGCGGTTCCGGCTCGCTGGGTCCGGGCCAGGAGGTGGTGTCCGCCCGCAGAGGAGCGTGCCTGGTCTCGGTCTGAGCGTCTCCCAGCGATTTGCCACCGCACGCCCGCCGGATCCCGGGCTTTACCGCGCGCTTCTCCAGGCCCCGCCCCGCCCAAGGTCCCATGGATGCGGCAGCGCCAGTGAATCCACCGCAGGTGAGAGAGGCGTCCTCGGATCCTCACCCAGGTCCTCAAGCCCGGGACGGGGGCGCCTGCTCGGGTCTGTGCAGTTCGGGCCCCATCTCCAGGACAGCGAGGCGTTCTGGGTGGGGTCCTCAGCGCTGACGGGAGGTGAGGTGAGGAGGGAGGGCGTTGCGTACGGTGGGAGCCGCACGCGCAGAGCCTGGGAGGTGCGCCGGGGCCGCGAGCGTTCGGAAACCTGTGGATCGACCGGTGTTTGCAAGGAGGGAGAGAATGAAGAGCCAGGCCTTAATTCTGAGTCTTTGGGAGCCATGGAGGGTTGTGAATGAAGGAGAACACGATCTGAGGGAGGGTCGTGTTCTTTAAAAAAATATTTCAAAGGCCGTGAGTGGAGATAACAGACTGTTAGGGAGTGATGATGGTGGACGCAGGGATACTGGCGAGGAGGCGGCTGTAGTAGACTCCAGGAGGATTGTGTTGGATTCTGGAGGGACCTAAGTAATAAGAATCTTGGTAGATTTTAAAGGTAAAGCCAGTAGGCTTTTCTGCTGCATCATTTGTGCCTGTGAGCAAAAGTGGGAGTGAAGTATGATCCCAAGTTTTTCTCTTACTTGAACATCTGGAAGAGTTGACAGAAATCTGGTGGGGGAGCAGGTTTCAGGGACATACTATGAGTTAAATTTTGGACGTGGTGTTTCTTTTCTTTTTAAAATATATTTTGTGTTTCCAGCCGTCCACTGATGGTATGCACGTGGTGTTTCTAAACTGTCACAGAGTGAGGTTGTTACATGGGCAGCTGGAATTGTAAGCAGAAAATTAAGGGGAGAAGACTGGCTCGTTGATTTTGTACTTGGTGACAGGCTGGGGCTTAGACTCAGGCCAAGCCTTAAATTTAGACGGGTAATCTTAAGATTTTACTTTGAGATGAAGAGAGGGAGGGCTGGGGCTGGAAGCTGGGGAAGAGTGGGTCGGCCTTGCGAGGCTGCTTGCAGATAGAAGGGCCCTGGGGTTCCAGGGGCACTTCCAGAGGAAATATTTAAGGAATACACACTGCATAGGATGGATTTGAGGGTGGGACACTCTGCAAAGTCACCGTTCAGGAGGTTTGGTGAACTATTCACTCTATGTAGAGCCAGAAAAAGGTCAGCCAGACTAGCGGAGCAGCTCAAGCTCAGCAAGAGCAGCTCTCCCCGGAAAACACAGATTTAAGCTTTATAGATTTAACAAATTTATGCAAGTCGATTAAAATGCCACTATACCTCTGTGCTCTAATAAAAAATAAATGTTTGCTTTTTGTCATGTTTTCCTGGCACAGAACTCCTAAAATCCTTGTAATTTCCTCAGTGAAAAGTGTCTTGTGATAAGTCATGTAGCACATAACAATAATGTTGACCACATCAATGGCGGTGATCCCCTGAGATTATGATACCATATTTTTACTGTACCTTTTTATTTCTTTCTGATCAAGAGGTAAACTGCGTTTTCTAAGTTTATATATGTTTAAATACCCAAATAATTATCACTGCGTTACAGTTGCTGACAGTATTTAGTATAATAGCTTGCGGTACATGTTTGTAGCCTAGGAGCTATAGGCTATAATACATTTAGTAGTTGAACGAGTTTCTCCTTATCCTTGGAGGATACTTTTCAAGACCCCCAGTGGAGGCCTGAAACTGCAGATAGTACCCAACCTATATATACTATGTTTCTTCCTAGGCTACATACCTATAATAAAGTCCAATTTATAAATTAGGCATTATAAGAGATTAATAATAACTGGAAATATAGAACAATTACACTTTAATTATAAGTTAATAAAAGTTATGTTACTGCAGTTGAGACAATAAAAAAACAAAAAAGATTATTTAAAAAGTTATGTGAATGTGTTATCTCTAAATATCTTATTATACTATTTACCCTTCTTCATCTCAAGAAGAAAGGACTAAACTCCATAGCATAATACTTCCTCATACCACTTAGAATGGTGCACTATTTAAAACATGAATTGTTTATTTCTGGAAATGTAATATTTTAATATTTATTTGTTTTTTTTTTTTTTTTTTTGAGAGGGAGTTTCACTCATGTTACCCAGGCTGGAGTGCAATGGTGCAATCTCGGCTCACCGCAACCTCCGCCTCCTGGGTTCAGGCAATTCTCCTGCCTCAGCCTCCTGAGTAGCTGGGATTACAGGCACGCACCACCATGCCCAGCTAATTTTTTGTATTTTTAGTAGAGACGGGGTTTCACCATGTTGACCAGGATGGCCTCGATCTCTTGACCTCGTGATCCACCCGCCTCGGCCTCCCAAAGTGCTGGGATTACAGGCTTGAGCCACCGCGCCCGGCATATTTTAATATTTAATGTTAAAATTTTAACATTACTATTTTCAGACTGAAGTTGTAATTTAATACTTATAATTTTCACCTGAAATTGAATGCAGGTAACTGAAACTGCAAATAGCAAAACAGCTGATAAGGGAAGGCTACTATACTTGAGTTTTATGAGATGACTTAGGGTGAGCAGACAGGGTGGAGTCTCTAGATAGCCTCAGAGTGGAGTTGGTCACCAGACAAATCAAGTGATTATAGGATTTGAACTTTAAGCCCCAGCTCTGGCCTCCAGGGAGGGAAGCAGAGGTTTGGAGATTAGATTATATAAAATCTTGAACAATGAGTTCAGGAAGCTTCAAGGTTGTGAACACTTGGAAATGCTGGGAGAGTGACATAAGAGAGCATGGAAGTATCCCGCCTTACCCCCTCTCCCAGTACCTTGCCATATGCATCTCTTCCATTTGGCTGTTCCAGAGTTACATCCATTATCATAAACTGATAAACATAAGTATTTTCCTGAGTTCTGTAAGTGGTTCTAGCAAATTATTGAAAAAGGTCATGGCAGCCCCCAAATTTATAGCCAAGTGGAGAAAATTACGGTGGTTTGGACATTGGCTTGCAGTTGGCATATGAAATGTGGACAGTTGTGTGTGACTGAGCCTTTAAACCTTTTGGTTTAGATGCAACTCCAGGTATTATTAGGATAGGATTGAATTGTAGGACACCTGGTTGGTATCAGAATCAGAGAATGATGTTGGAAAAGACACTGCATATTTATTGTCAAAGAATCACAGAAGCCTCTGATAATTTGATAACATATCCCATTCACATAAAGACTGTGGTCTTTCTTGTTGAATATTCTGTGTGAGCTTGGGAACAGTGTGTATTCTGTTCTTTTTGGAAAAAATAAAGATGTTGATTATGTCCAGTTGATTGATGATGTTGAATTCAGCTATGTTTATTCGTTTGGACATTGCTGAATATTCTGTGTGATCTTGGTAACAGTGTATATTCTGTTCTTGTTGGAAAAAATAATCTAAAGATGTTGATTTTGTGCACTTGATTGATGGTATTGTTGAATTCAGCTATGTTTATTGGTCTGGACATGGATGGTGTTGTTGAATTCAGCTATATTTATTGGTCTGGATGTTGGCTTGCAATGAGCATATGAAGTGAGGACAGTTGTGTATGACTGAGCCTTTAAAATCTGTTGGTTTAGAAGCAACTCCAGGTAGTTAGTATTAGAATAGGATTGAATTGTAGGACACCTAGTTGGTATCAGAGTCAGAGAATAATGTTGGAAAACACACTACATATTTATTGTCAAAGAATCACAGAAGCCTCTAATAATTTGATAACATATCACATTCATATAAAGACTTAAATGGCAAGAAACACCAAAATTTTCAAAACTGTTTACAGAAGTCTTAATGCTGTGGTCAGTACTAGCCCGGTATTAGCATTGGACAAGTACAAATGAGTTTGATGCCTACAATAGCACTGCAAGGTAGCCACCATTAAGTGTTCCCATTTTACAGATGGAGGCAACTTCAGAGAGGTCAGATCTTTGTCCAGTGTCACACAGTTGGCAAAAGCAACCTACCCTTTGTAAATGCCACCTTGAACACCTTTATGTCATAGCCTCCCTCTTCCTGCAAATTCCTGTGGCAGCAGAAGAGTTTGTGAAACCATCACAGGTAATTGGAGGAAGTCCCAGGTCTTCACTGGCCCTATTCCCTAAAGCCATGGCTCTGGCCCACAGATGCAGGTGACACTGATGTCTTGAGACTCTTTTTCCTTGGTTTTGGGTCCCTTGGGTCACCTCAGACCCAGGATGATTAATCAGGGTCAGAAGTTCTACAGAGATGTTCCCATTTCTGCATCTAATAGGATGAAGTGATGAAAGGTTTCCTGGGCATAGGAGCCAGTATGTCCAAAATGGTTAGAGATGAGAATCATATGGGCATATAGAGGAATTTCAAGTCTCTGTGCACTGTGGCCAAAACTTCGGCAGTGTGAGCTTTGACAGCAGAACTAACATGAGTTTCTTTTTCCTTCTTCACAATCTCACAGATACATGATTTGTTCTTTTTGTACATCTTAGCAAACTCAGAGTACAATTTTTATTTTTCTTGTTAAATCAAGAACTCTCACCTTTTCACTTAAAGGAAGTACTTTACGTCTTTTACACATCTGAATTGCTGGCATTATTGCTCTTGTGCTTTGGGGATATTACTAAGTAAAATCACGGTTACTTAACACAAGCACTGTGATAATGAGACAGTTGATATGATAACCAAGATGGCCACTTAGTCACTAACAGGCAGGTACTGTATTCAGCATGGGATCTGCTGGATAAAGGGATGATCCATATCTTGGGCATAACACCGTGGGACAGTGTAAGATTTTGTCACACTACTCAGAAAAGCACGTGATTTATAACTTATGAGTTATTTATTTCTGGAATTATGCATGTAATATTTTCAGACCACAGTTGACCACTGGTAACTGAAACCGTGGAATACAAAATTATGGATAAGAGCGGGGACGACTGTGTAGGTATTCAGTGCTATAAATTTTATTCTAAGCACCACTTCAACTGCATCTCACAAATTCTAAGTTGTGTTTTCATTGTCATTTAGTTCAAAATAGTTTTAAATTTATCTTGAGTATTGCTTCTTTGCTTCATGTGTTAAGTCTTGTTTAATCTCCCAAGTATTTTGGGATTTGCCAGCTATCTTTCTGTTACTGCTTTCTAGTTTAATTCTATTGTGATCACAGAGCAAACATTGTATTATTTCTGTTAAATTTATTAAGATGTGTTTTATGAATGTATATTATAAATGGGCGAGTTGGTATCCTTCGTGGGGTTTCTAGGATCATTCCAACACTGCCATGGAAATTAAACTGTGAGAGGCATACAGAATTAAAGGATTTATTACATTCATAGATTCTCATAGAGGGTGGCACAGCAAACTATGCATGAAGCAGTATGGGAGGAGCTCTTTAGGAGCAGACTCAATCAAGCAGGCAGGGAGCCAAGAGGGAGCACAAGGACCTGTGGGCAGGTGCTTTTCCTAGTGTGTTTGAATATCATTTAGTCACAGTCAAGGGAGAAAAAGAAGGGGAGGTTGTGACAGGGACCAGGCTTAGCATACTGGGTACCTGGTCTCCAGGGTGGGTTGCTCATAATGTGTTGGAGATGTTGAAGCATCAGGAAAATAGGAAGTTTTAAAGATTTATAAAACAGGCCCAAAGTGTGGTCTGTCTTGTTGAATATTCCGTGTGAGTTTAAGAACAATGTGTATTCTGTTCTTGTTGGACAAAATAATCTAAAGATGTTGATTATGTCCATTTGGTTGATGGTGTTGTTGAATTCAGCTATTTATTGGTTTTCTGCCTACTGGATCTGTCAGTAACAGAAGCGTGTGGAAGACTTCAATTATGATGGTGGATTGATCTGATTCTCCTTAAAGACCTATCAGTTTTTGCCTCACATAGTTTGATGCTCTGTGGTCAGGCGTGTATGTGTTAAGGATTCTTACATCTTTTTGGAAACTGACCCCTTTATCATTATGTAATCTTCTTTATCTCTGATAACTTTTCTTGCTGTAGTTTGCTCTAAAATTAATAAGCCTTCTCTTGTTGTTTTTTTGTTTTTTTTTTTTTTACTACCATATTACCATGGTATGTTTTTCTCCATCTGTTACAATTTAAATATGCTCTTCAAGTCTCATGTTGAAATTTGATACCCAATATTGAGGGGCCTGGTAAGAAGTGTTTGGGTCACAAGGGCAGATTCTTCATGAACAGCTTGATGCTGTCCTCAGAGTAATGAATGATTTCCTCCTCTGTTAGTTCCTATGAGCTTTGATTGTTTAAAAGGGCCTGGCGCTTTCCCTTCTCTGTCATGCTTATGCCATGTTTTGCCAACCCCCACTTCATGTTCTGCCATGAGTGGAAGCTTCCTGAAGTCCTCATCAGAAGCAGATATTAGTACCATGCTTCTGAGCTTGCAGAACTGTGAACCAAATATACATTTTTTCTTTATAAATTATCCAGCTTCAGTTATTCCTTTATAGCAACACAGAACAGACTAAGGCACCATCCATTTACTTTTGATCTATATGTGTCTTTATATTTAAGGTTTTTTTTTTTTTTAGACAACATATAGTTAGGCCTTGTTTATTGATCCACTCTGACCATCTGTTTTAATATTGGTACACTTAGACTATTGACATTCAAAGTGATTGTCGATGTAGTTGTTGATGTAGTTGGAGTAGCTTGCACCATATTTGTTACTGTTTACTATTTGTTGCCCTTACTGTTTTGTTTTGTCTTTTGGGTTTTGTTTTTGATACAAGGTCTGGCTTTGGTGTCCAGGCTGGAGTGCAGTGGTGCAATCTCAGCTCTCTGCAACCTCCTCCTCCAGGACTCAAGGGATCTGCCCAGCTTAGCCTCCCAGGTAGCTGGGACTATAGGCATGAGCCCCCACACCCAGCTAATTTTTGTATTTTTTTGTAGAGATCAGGGTTTCGCCATGTTGGCCAGGCTGGTCTTGAACTCCTGGCCTCAAGTGATCTGCCTACCTTAGCCTCCCAAAGTGTTGGGATTACAGGTGTGTGCCACCATGCCTGGCTGCAATATACCTTTGCAACTAATCTAAGTCCATATTATTCAAATAGCACTATAACATTTCACAGGTACTTTGAGTGTTTTATAACAAGATAGATAATCTTAATTCCACTCTCTTGTCCCTTGTTTTTGTTTGTTTTGTTTTTGAGACAGGCTCTCCTTCTGTCACCCAGGCTGGAGTGCAGTGGCATGAACACAGCTCACTGCAGCCTCATTCTCCTGTGATCAAGCGATCCTCCTGTCTCAGCCTCACCAGTAGCTGGGATCACAGGTGTGTGCTACCATACCCAGCTAAATTTTTTTTTTTTTTTTAATAGAGAAAGGACCTCACTTTGTTACTCAGGCTGGTCTTGAACTCCTCCCGTCAAATGATCCTTGTGCCTTGGCCTCACCAATGTGTTGGGATTTCAAGGGTGAGCCAGCGTGCCTGTCCCTCTTGTCCCTTATATTGTTGTTATCATTTATTTATGCATGAGTGTGCATGCACACACGTGCACACGCATGCACACACACACAATTGAATACATTGTTGCTATTCTTTTTTTTAACAAATTTATCTGTTAGATTTATTAAGAATAAGAAAAATTTTTATTTTACCTTCACTTTTTCTTTTTTTAATTTGTGGTACTCTTCCTTTCTTTATGCAGGTCCAAGTTTCTGGCCTTTATATCATTTCCTTCTCTCTGAAGAATTTTTTTTTAACATTTCTTGCAAGGCAGATCTACGGGCTACAGATTTTTAAATTTGTGTTTGTCTGAGAAAGTCTTTTTTTCTCCTTTACTTTGGGGGGACAATTTCACAGAGTATACCCTTCTTGGTTGGTAAGGATTTTTCTCAACACTTTTTAATTCACTTTTTTCTTGTTTTGCATGGTTTCTGAGGAGAAGTAGGATGTAATTCTTATCTTTGTTCTTCTATAAGTAAAGTGGCTTTCTAGCTTTTGTCAGTAATTTTTTTTAATCCTTAATGTTCCATAGTTTGACTATATGTCTAGGAGTAGGTTTTGGGGGTGGATTTGTCCTACTTGGTGATCTCTGAGCTTCCTGGATCTGTGGTTTGGTGACTGAAATGAATTTGGGGAAATTCTAAGTGTAGTTCTTTTTTTTTTTTTTTTTAGTATGGAACGTTCGCAAATTTGCGTGTCATCGTTGCGCAGGGCCATGCTAATCTTCTCTGTATCATTCCAATTTGAGTATATGTGCTGCTGAAGTGAGCACCTAAGTGTAATTCTTAAGTTTATTTTTATTTTTTCCTTCTTGTATTCCCAGTATATGTATGTTACATGTTTTGTAGTTGTCCCATAGTCATTTGATATTATTTTGTGTATATATTTTTTAAGTCTTTGTGCACTTCAGTTGCCAATTTTGGAGGTTTCTATTGATGTATCCTCATTCTTATAGATTCTTTTCTCAGCCTTACCCAAGCTAATAACCCCTTCAGAGGCTCTCTTCATTTCTTTTACATTATTTTTGGACCCCAGCATTTCTCTTTGGTTCTTTCTGAGGATTTCCATCTCTACTTACTCTGCTCGTTCTTGCATGACATATAGTTTATCCATTACGGAGTGTCATATTTGTAGTTGTTTAAAATTGCTGGTTGCATAATTCCATTTCTGTGCTATGTATAGTTCTGATACTTGCTCTCTTTTCTCCAGTTGTATTCTTTTACCTTTGGTATGCCTTGTGATGTTTTCTTTTCTTACCCTCCTCCTTTTATTTTTTTGAGCTGGAGTTTTGCTCTTGTCACCCAGGCTGGAGTACAGTGGCGCGATGTTGGCTCACTGCAATCTCAACCTCTCAAATTCAAGTGATTCTCCTGCCTCAACATCCCAAGTAGCTAGGATGACAGGCATCCACCACCATGCCCAGCTAATTTTTGCATTTTTAGTAGAGACGAGGTTTCACCATGTTGGCCAGGCTGGTCTCGAACTCCTGACCTCAGGTGATCCACCTGCCTCGGCCCCCCAAAGTGCTTCTGATGTTTTCTTGATAGCTAGAGACGATGACCTCAGTAAAAGGAATTGCTGTAAATAGGCCTTTAATAATGTGATGGTGAGGTGTGCCAGGTCCCAGTGTTTTAGTGAGCCTGTTCCTCTTGACTGAAATTCACGTGTCTCTAAATTTTGTTTTGTTTTGCTTTTTCTCTCCCATTATGTGGAAGAGGATTACTAGAATGGGCTGTAGTTGGTTATTTCCCTGGTCTATCCCTAGATAAGACTAGGCTCTGATAATACCTCTGCAGGTTAAGCTCTGGTTAACTGTTGTCTCCTGAGGACAGGCTTTGTTGAGAGGAACACATTGCTATGGCATATTTTTAAATGATTCATTTTCTCCTCTCTGCTGGAAGCACAAGGGGATTTTTTTCCCCAGTGTTTACCATGAGAACTTGTTTAAGACTCTGGAGGTAAATACTGCAAGATTGTGGGGGCTCTCACCGAGTGCCTCTTGAATTTTCAGCTCACAGAATGGTCCACACAGAGCTCCCAGCAATTTATGCATTATAGATTGGGTTTTCCTAACCTGGCGAGGGTTTGCATGATGATTTCCTTTCATGAGTTTCTGCTCCTGTAAGCCTTGATTCTCCTGTATTCCCTTGTTTTTCTCTCCAGTCTTGGGGGCAGCAGTGTGTCCTTATCTTTCCTGTGGATCCTAGAAGAGCTGTCCATTTTTCAGTCTGTTTAACTCTTTACTTGCTATTGTGATGGAGTGGCCACTTCCAAGCTCCTTACATGCAGAATAGGAAACCAAAATCCAGGAGTTAGGCCTTCACAATATGGAATCTTCTGTTGGGAACCCTTAGTGGTGATGTCAGGTGCACAGCAAGAGACAGACATGTGGAATTCAGGGAAGGGATCCAAGTGAAAGCTATCCATCAGCCAGTGGCTGGCATGTGGACCATTGCAAATGTAAGAGGAGCACTCTTTAGGTCATAGTGGCAATGCCAACAGCGAGGAAGGATGTAAAGAGTATTCTGTAATGACTGGGCCTCACATGTTCACCTAGATAGAAGTGGGAACTGGCCGGGCACGGTGGCTCACGCTTGTAATCCCAGCACTTTGGGAGGCCGAGGCGGGTGGATCACGAGGTCAAGAGATCGAGACCATCCTGGTCAACATGGTGAAACCCCGTCTCTACTAAAACTACAAAAAATTAGCTGGGCATGGTGGCGCGTGCCTGTAATCCCAGCTACTCGGGAGGCTGAGGCAGGAGAATTGCCTGAACCCAGGAGGCGGAGGTTGCGGTGAGCCGAGATCGTGCCATTGCACTCCAGCCTGGGTAACAAGAGCGAAACTCCGTCTCCAAAAAAAAAAAGAAAAACATCACTAAGACAAATGAAGAAAAGTAGTAACCATGGGTGTGTGGGGGTAGAATGAAAAGGGTGTCTGGCTGTTGGTACAGTCTTTAAATGGGCAATGATTAAGAGATTCATTCAGAGGCAAAGCAGTACTGGAAGTCAGATGACACCAAGGTCAGGCCTGGTGCCTTTTCTCCCTTTGCTGGCTCAGACTTTTGTTCGTAACTCTTGGTGGGGCCTGAGTAGTTTCAGACAGGGTGACAGATTAGGTTAAAGGCAAATGAGATTGACTGGGTGAGTCATTCAGCATGTGGTGGGGCCAGGCTTTGACTGAGTATATAGGTGGAGAGAGGAAAGATGTGACATTTGGGGACAGGACAGGCAACACTGAGACAGAAGTGGGCTTCGGCAACTGAGCTCACACAAGTTCTCAGTGACTGAAATTGGAACAAAGAGCCAGGCCAGATGGGGAAGACTTCATAACAGTCCAGAGACTGCCTCTGAATTGGGTCTAACAAAGATGTATGGTGGTGCTGGATCCTTGTTGCATTTAGCAAGTGCTGCCTGGGTCCCTTGAGCAGAGTGGCATGTGGAGAAGCCAGTGAAGTACTGTGTCATGGATGCTGAGGGCAGTGGAGTTTAGGGTGTAGCAGTCATGGTCTGGAGATGTGAGGGAGCTTTGTTCCCGTGAGTGGTATTCAAATGGGGAGGGAGTATGGGTGTACTCAGGATCCTTGTACTGACACTTAAAGCCAAGAGAATAAGCACAGGTTTCAGTATATCTGGGTCTCCAGGGAGATGAACTAGCAGGAACTTGAGTGAGATTCCATTATGTCAGACCGAGAGCCCAGTGGGAGATACCATAAGGACCTGGTATCTCCTGTGAGTTGGACAACTAGGGAGGAGGGAGATTTACTGGGGTTCCTGGGGATTGAGTCTGCTCATGATCTCACCTGCCCCCATCATGCAGGGCCATGTGACCTTTGAGGATATTGCTGTGTACTTCTCCCAGGAGGAGTGGGGCCTCCTTGATGAAGCTCAGAGGTGCCTGTATCATGACGTGATGCTGGAGAACTTTTCGCTTATGACCTCAGTGGGTAAGATCTCTTAAAACCACACCATCGACCTCTGTTGGACTCTGCTGTTCCCCTTTTTCCAGGAGTTTCCTTGTTTTTTCCAGAGTTGGACATGGGCCCTGCTTCTTTCCTTGGTTTCTTGACCTGTGGATGACATAGGTGCTGTGGTTGCCAGGCCTGGGCTTTTTGCGGCCGCAACATCTACTGTCCTGAAGCCTTTTAGTTAAGAGTTTGAGTTCAGACTTTTGTAACCTGCCCAGCCAATACCACTTGGTTTTGCCATTCCTTGGTAAGGTAACTGTTCAGTTCTGTGGTGGACCTGTGTTACAAGTTCTCCCCCTGCCTTTAGTAGACTTGTCTTTGGACCTGCCTTTCTCAGGAATTATAGGTACTTACATGGTTGCTATTTGTAGGGATTTCTAGACTATGACAGCAAGACCCTCTCCCAAGGCTTTTTAAAAAAATAAACGTTTCTCCTGTAGTCTGTCATGGGTTGGTGCACTCTGGGCCAGTGTTGTTGACTCACCTCCCTATTTTTCCCTTGAGACTTCTACCTTCCGGGACCCAGATAGTCTCCTGACTTAAGCCAAGGACAAGAGAGAGGCCCGTGTTTCTGAAAGGGTAGTGAAGTCTTCAACCACAGCAAGGGGGGTTAACAAGGTTTGGGACCTGTGAGTAGGAGCAGTGGCATGATTTCAGGGCTGAACTCAAATCATACCAGGCAAATGTCCTGTGTTCCCTACTATTTTAGTGCCAGGGTTCATGGGCATACCTCATTTTTCTCTTTTCTCTGCCTACTTGACATTTTGCCTACTTGACATTTCTACCGTGATTGTCCCCTACCTCTGTTTTCCATATCTCTCCTGTTCCTATTTTGCAATGTTCTCCAACATTAGCATATATTTAATAAATTTAATATTATGAGCTGTGCATATGCAGATGTTTGTCAGCTCATGATCGGGTTATATCCTGATAAACCCATTGTAAGTTGAGAATATTGTAAGTCAGAAATGTGTTTAATACACACAACTTACTAGCCATCCTAGCTTAGCAATACAGTAGAGTATCAGTTGTTTAGCCTTATGATTGCATGGCTTACTGGGAGCTGTAGCTTGCTACCACTACATCACAAGAGTATACATACTGAGTATCACTAGCCTGGGAAAAGTTCAGAATTCAAAGTATGGTTTCTACTGAATGCGTATCACTTTTATACTATCATAAAGTGGAAAAATCTTAAGTTCAACCATTGTAAATCAGAGACTATTTCAGTTCTCAAACATCAGCTGTTGAGTTGTAATTGCACTTTCCTGGGGTGATGCATTCTACGCAGGTCTCCCCTGTCTCCATGAGACAGTGTCCCGTTGAAAACCATTGACAGAGAAGTAAGTTGTAGATGCCCCCTGCCTCTCTTTCCACCACAGCACCCTATTCTTTGTTCTCTCTGGTTATGGTCTTCCTCCACATGGTAACCGTAAGAGGCCTAGTACTGCAAGTATTGTCTTCCTTGACCTGACTCCAGCTCCCTTGCTGAAAACAAACACATGGGCTGAGTGCAGTGGCTCATGCCTATAATCCTAGCACTTGGGGAAGCTGAGGTGGGAGCATCACTTGAGCCCAGGAATTTGAAACCAGCCTGGGCAACATAGTGAGACCCTCATCTCCACAAAAAATTCTAAAAAAAATTAGCGGGGCATGGTGGTGTGTGCCTCTAGTCTCAGCTACTCAGGAGGCTGAGATGGAAGTGTCACTGGAGCTTGGAAGGTCAAGGCTGCAGTGAGCTATGATTGCAACTGCATTCCAGCCTGGGTGACAGAGCAAGACCCTATCTCTTAAAAAAAAAAAAAAAAAGGGATTCATCCCTCCCTGTCTTCCACAGGTATTTGTAATGGGGCTTTTCCCTTCCACCAAAGTCTGCATACACTTCACTTGCATTTTTATGCTTTTAGGTTGTTTGCATGGAATAGGGGCTGAGGAGGCCCCTTCTGAGCAGACTGTTTCTCTAGAAGTGTCACAGGCCAGGACTCCAAAGCCAAGTTCTTCCATCCCAAATGCTCATTCCTGTGAGATGTGTATCCTGGTCATGAAAGACATTTTGTACCTCACGGACCACCAGGAAACACTTCCCTGGCAGAAACCTTACACTTCTGCAGCCAGTGGGAAATGGTTTTCATTTGGTTCTAACCTGCAACAGCACCAAAACCAGCACAGTGGAGAGAAACACATCAGAAAGGAGGAGAGCAGTGCCTTGCTTCTGAATAGCTGCAGAATTCCTCTGCCAGACAATGTTTTTCCGTGCAAAGATGTTGAGAAGGATTTCCCAACCATCCTGGGCCTTCTCCAGCACCAGACCACCCACAGCAGAGAAGAGTATGCACATAGAAGCAGGGAGACCTTTCAACAAAGACATTACAAATGGAGCAAATGTGAGCAAGTTTTCAGTGAGAAGGTTCATGTTACTGATCATCAGAGAGTCCACACTGGAGAAAAAGCTTATAAACACAGGGAATATGGGAAATCCTTGAACTCTAAACACTCATTTGTTGAACACCAGAGAACCCATAATGCAGAAAAGCCTTATGTATGCAATATATGTGGGAAATCATTCCTCCATAAACAAACACTCATTGGGCACCAGCAGAGAATTCACACTAGAGAAAGGTCTCATGTATGCATCGAATGTGGGAAATCCTTGAGCTCCAAATACTCACTTATGGAACACCAGAGAACCCATAATGGAGAAAAGCCTTATGTGTGCAGTGTATGTGGGAAATCATTCCGCCACAAACAAACGTTTGTTGGGCACCAGCAGAGGATCCACACTGGAGAGAGGCCTTATGTATGTATTGAATGTGGGAAATCTTTTATTCATTCCTATGACCGCATTCGACACCAGAGAGTTCACACTGGAGAAAGGGCTTATCAATGCAATGAATGTGGGAAATCTTTCATATACAAACAGTCACTTCTTGATCACCAGAGAATCCACACAGGAGAAAGGCCTTATGAGTGCAAAGAATGTGGGAAAGCCTTCATCCACAAAAAAAGACTTCTTGAGCACCAGAGAATTCATACTGGAGAAAAGCCTTATGTGTGCATCATATGCGGGAAATCATTTATCCGCTCATCTGACTACATGCGACACCAGAGAATTCACACTGGAGAAAGGGCTTATGAATGCAGTGAATGTGGGAAAGCCTTCATTTCCAAACAAACACTTCTTAAGCACCACAAAATCCACACTAGAGAAAGGCCTTATGAATGTAGTGAATGTGGAAAAGGCTTCTACCTTGAGGTTAAACTTCTTCAGCACCAAAGAATCCATATTAGAGAACAACTTTATGAATGCAATGAATGTGGAAAAGTCTTCAGCCATCAAAAAAGACTTCTTGAGCACCAGAAAGTTCACACTGGAGAAAAGCCCTGTGAGTGCAGTGAATGTGGGAAATGCTTTAGACACCACACCAGCCTCATTCAACACCAGAAAGTTCATAGTGGAGAGAGGCCTTATAACTGCACTGCATGTGAGAAGGCCTTTATCTATAAAAACAAACTTGTTGAGCATCAGCGAATTCACACTGGAGAAAAGCCATATGAGTGTGGTAAATGTAGGAAAGCCTTCAACAAAAGATATTCCCTTGTCAGGCACCAAAAAGTTCATACAAGAGAAGAGCCCTAGCAGTGTTGGGATGTGCCATTATCTTACTCACCATAACACACCAGAGAGCCGATTTTTCAAGGGATCCAACAGATAGAAATTGAACCTCGTATATCTGCATATCAATACTTGAAAGATTCACTACAAGGTCCAAGTACTTGGGAAGCTTTCTGGAGATTACTTGTACTTTCTAATCTGCCCAGTGTTACAACAGACATTATTACCATGTGGCATATCCTCATAGTTTTCATCAGTCACCCACATGTGCCCAGGGAATGCAGACATTTTTGCTCATCCAGTTCTGAAGGGAATAATGAATAATAAAAGCTTATTGAGGGTCCTCTTCCATCTTGCTGAACTGATCAAGGCATAGATGAAACCCAGCTTTGACCAAGAAGAGTGATCTGGGTTCTTGTAGCCCATGGAGGTTTACCTTCTTCATAGGTATTTTTTTTTTTTAATGTGATGGCCATGGTAGGTAGGATATTCCCTCCTGCACATTACTGAAGAGGGAAATGGACTGTCTTACCCTGCGCTGATGCCAGTGTTCTGGCAGTGTGAAGGGTGAACAGCTCCAATTTTCTATGCCCCCAAGGACATAGTATGAGATCAGAAAATAGTTCTTAGTCCTGTTTGTCTTAATTTTTATTAGTTTCAAAGGTCTCCTAGGGAAGACATCAGAGCTTCATGGTCCTAATCATGGTGTTGATGCCAATTTTATTTTTAGGTCCAGAGAAGAGGCATTTGTGACAAACTCAAGTGCTGGGATCTGCATGAATTGTTTATTTGCAGTGATGCTCCATATTTCCTAGCATTGGTCATGACATCTTATTTCCCAGGTCCTTCATTGTAGCCATGAGCACTGAGGGACAGAAGTGATAGGCAGGTCACTGGTCTTAAGACCTACTGGGGCCAGGTGAGAACAATAATTGGTCCAGACAGGTAGGTGTGATAAATAGAGTGGAAAAGATTGTAGCCAAGAAGAGTAAATGTGTTCCATCCAAAAGTGCATCCAGAAATATCTATGTTAATATGGCTTCATGGTTTGGTGGTATATAGAGATTCTCAGGACCTCAGATCTTTGTTTCTCCTTTGGTCACAGTCATCGTCAGAATAAGTCATCTGAAGATTTTGTGGACTCCCATACCTTCTGTACTGTTTTTGAGATGATTGCTGCACAAGCAGGAAAGCAGGATTTGAATGAACATAGACCTTGCCTTCCAGATATGTGGTTTTTGTGATTCAACCAAATATGTTGTGCCAGTTAGGAATTATTTTGATTACTTCCCATTTGTTGCCGCTGCTGAGAAGGCTGTCCTTCCTAACTTGAGGAGATGAATCCTTAATAATAAGTAAATCTTGTGTTACCCTATAGTCTGGTTTTCCAAAAGGAGAAGTGGATGTATATTTTTGTGTGGAACAATTTATCTTACAACATTGAAGTGCAGTTTTCATACACAAAACCTATCTTTTTAAGAATTCTGTTTGTTAAAAAAAAAAAAACTAGTAAACAGACTTAAAACTAGAAACTAAAAAAAAAAAAAGAATTCTGTTTGTGTGGCTTATTGGCTAATAATGGGTTTTGATATTAATGTAATCTCAGTAAGTATCTTGTCTTAGAAATATGTGTGTATATATTCTGTTTTATGCCTTTTCATTCACCTTATTCAGTCTTCCAAATAAAATGTTTTCAATATTGGTGAAGTCTAATTTGCCTGTGGGTTCTTTTACTGATTGTTATTTAGGTGCTATTTAAAAATGCATTCCTCGGCCAGGTGTGGTGGATCACACCTGCAGTCCCAGCACTTTGGGAGGCTAAGGTGGGTGGGATCACCTGAGGTCAGGAGTTTGAGACCAGCCTGGCCAACATGGCAAAAGCTTGTCTCTACTAAAAATACAAAAATTAGCCGGGCATGGTGGTGGGCACATGTAATCCCAGCTACCCAGGAGGCTCAGGTGGGAGAATTGTTTGAACCCAGGAGGTGGAGGTTGCAGTGAGTCGTGATCGTGCCATCTGCACTCCAGCCCGGGGAAAAAGAGTGAGACTGTCTCAAAAAAAAACCCAAAAGTATTCCTAATTTAAAAACAGAATTTTTTAATGTTCCCTGTGAAACTTTTACAGTTTAGTTGTTTTATTTGTGTCTATGATCATATTTACTTAATTTTTCTGTTATTTTTAAAATATGGAGGATGCCCATTTGCTGCAGCAACATTGATTTAAGATTATTCTTCAATGAGTTGATTTTGTACCTTTATTCAATATCAGCTAATCATTTGTATATATTTCCTTCTGTACTTTCTACTCTGTTAAATTTATATATTTGTATTTTTGCCAGTACTTTCATGTGTTTAGCGATGTGTTTTTATAAAGTCTTGAAATCATGGCCATGTACTACTAGAACCTCTTTTTCAAAGTTGTTTTGACTGTTCTTGTTCCTGTGCATTTTAATATCAATTATAAATCCACTTGTCAATTTATACAGAAAGAAGTTTAAAAACTAGGATTTTTATTGGCGTTGCACTTTACCTATGGATCTAAAGAAGGACATTGAGTGTTCTAATTCCTAAAGATGAGATATCTAATCTCTGATTTAGGCCTTATTAAATTTGTTAAATTTAATTTATTATACTTTAAATTCTGGGGTATATGTGCAGAACGTGCATGTTTATTACATAGGTATACGTGTGCCATGATTGTTCGTTGCATCCATCACCCTGTCATCTACATTAGGTATTTCTCCTAATGCTCTCTCTCCCCAATTCCCCCACCCCCTTGTATCCCTCCCCTAGCCCCCCACCCCCCAACAGGCCCTGATGTGTGATGTTCCCCTTCTTGTGTCCATGTGTTCTCATTGTTTAATTCCCACATATGAGTGAGAACATGTGGTGTTTCGTTTTCTGTTCCTTTGTCAGTTTGCTGAGAATAATGGTTTCCAGCTTCACCCATGTCCCTACAAAGGACATGAACTCATCCTTTTTGTTGGCTGCATAGTACTTCCTGGTGTATATGTGCCACATTTTTTTTTTTATCCAGTCTATCACTTATGGGCATTTGGGTTGTTTCCAAATCTTTGCTATTGTGAACAGTGCTGCAATAAACATGGCTGTGTGTGTGTGTCTTTATAATACAACGATTTATAATCCTTTGGATATATACCCAGTAATGGGATTGTTGGATCGAATGGTATTTCTATTTCTAGATCCTTGAGAATCGCCACACTGTCTTCCACAATGGTTGAACTAATTTATACTCCCACTAAGTATAAAAGCGTTCCTATTTCTCCATGTCCTCTCCAGCATCTGTTGTCTCCTGATTTTTTAATGATCGCCATTCTAACTGGAGTGAAATGGTATCTCAATGTAGTTTTGATCTGCATTTCTCTAATGAGCAGTGATGATGAGCTTTTTTCCCATATGTTTGTTGGCCACATAAATGTCTTCTATTGAAAAACGTTTTCATATCCTTTGCCCACTTTTTAATGGGGTTGTTTTATTCTTATATTAGCTCTTTTTCAGATGGGTAGATTGCAAAAATTTTTTCCCATTCTGTTGGTTGCCATTTCACTCTAATGATAGTTTCTTTTGCTTTACAGATCTTAAGTTTAATTAGATTCCATTTGTCTGTTTTGGCTTTTGTTGCCATTGCTTTTGATGTTTTAGTCATGAAGTCCTTGCCCATGCATATGTACTGAATGGTATTGCCTATGTCTTCTAGGGTTTTTATGGTGTTAGGTCTTAGGTTTAAATCTTTAATCCATCTGGTGTTAATTTTTGTATAAGGTATAAGGAAGGGGTCCAGTTTCAGCTTTCTGCATATAGCTAGCCAGTTTTCCCAACACCATGTATTAAATAGGTAATCCTTTCCCCATTGGTTGTTTTTGTCAAGTTTGTCAAAGATGGTTGTAGATTTGTGGCATTGTATCTGAGACCTCTGTTCTATTCTACTGGTCTGTATCTCTGTTTGTTACCAGTACTAAGCTGTTTTCATTACTGTAGCCTTGTATTATAGTTTGAACTCAGGTAGTGTGATGCCTCCAGCTTTTTTTTGTTTGTTTTTTTGCTTAGGATGGTCTTGGCTATGCAGGCTCTTTTTTGGTTCCATATGAAGTTTAAGGTGGTTATTTCCAATTCTGTGAGGAAAGTCAATTGTAGCTTGATGGGGATAGCAGTGAATCTATAAATTACTTTGGGCAGTATGGCCATTTTCATGATACTCATTCTACCTAACCATGAGCATGGAATGTTTTTCCATGTTTGTGTCCTCTGTGTTTCCTTGAGCAGTGGTTTGTAGTTCTCCTTGAAGAGATCTTTCACATCCCTTGTTAGTTGTATTCTTAGGTATTTTATTATCTTTGTAGAAATTGTGAATGGGAATTCACTCATGATTTGCCTCTCTGTTTTTGGTGTATAGGAATGCTTGTGATGTTTGCACATTGATTTTGTATCCTCAGACTTTGCTGAAATTGCTTATCAACTTAAGGAGATTTTGGGCTGAGACAGCGTAGTCTTCTAAATGTACAATCATGTGGTCTGCAAATAGTGACAATTTGTCCTCCTCTTTTCCTAATTGAATACCCTTTATTTCTTTTTCATATCTGATTGCCCTGGCCAGAACTTCCAATACAATGTTGAATAGGAGTGGTGAGAGAGGGCATCATTGTCTGCTGCCAGTTTTCAAAGGAAATGCTTTCAGTTTTTGCCCATTCAGTATGATATTAGCTGTGGGTTTGTCATAAATAGCTCTTATTTTGAGATATGTTACATCGATACCTAGTTTATTGAGAGTTTTTAGCATAAAGGGCTGTTGAGCTTTGTGGAAGGCCTTCTCTTCATCTGTTGAGATAATCATGTGGTTTTTGTCTTTGGTTCTGCTTCTGTGATGGATTACATTTATAGATTTGTATATATTGAACCAGCCTTGCATCCCAGGGATGAAGCCGACTTGATCATGATGGATAAGCTTTTTGATGTGCTGCTGGATTCAGTTTGCCAGTATTTGAGCATTTTCACATCAATGTTCATCATGGATATTGGCCCGAAATTTTCTTTCTTAGTTGTGTCTCTGCCAGGTTTTGGTATCAGGATGATGTTGGTCTCATAAAATGAGTTAGGGAAGATTCCCTTTTTTTGTATTGTTTGGGATGGTTTCAGAAGGAATGGAACCAGCTCCTCTTTGTACGTCTGGTAGAATTCAGCCGTGAACCCATATGGTCCTGGACTGTTTTTGGTTGGTAGGCTATTAATTGCTGCCTCAACTTCAGACTTTGTTACTGGTCTATTCAGGGATTCAACTTCTTCTTGGTTTAGTCTTAGGAGGATATAAGTGTCCAGGAATTTATCCATTTCTTCTAGATTTACTGATTTATGTGCATAGAGGTGTTCATTGTAATCTCCAATGGTAGTTTGTATTTCTGTGGGATCAGTGGTGATATCCCCTTTATCTTTTTTTTTAAGAGATAGGGTTTCACCATCTTGGCCAGGCTGGTCTTGAACTCATGACCTCGTGATCTGCCCATCTTGGCCTCCCAAAGTGCTGGGATTACAGGTGTGAGCCACTGTGCCCAGCCCCCTTTATCATTTTTTATTGCATCTATTGGATTCTTCTCTCTTCTTTTTTATTACTCTGGCTAGTGGACTATTTATTTTGTTGATCGTTTCAAAAACCCAGCTTCTGGATTTATTGATTTGTTGAAGGTTATTTTGTGTCTCTATCTCCTTCTTTTCTGCTCTGATCTTAGTTATTTCTTGTCTTCTGCTAGCTTTTGAATTTGTTTGATCTTGCTCCTCTAGTTCTTTTAATCATGATGTTAGGGTGTCGGTGTTAAATCTTTCCTTGCTTCTCTTGTGGGCATTTAGTGCTATAAATTTCCCTCTAGACACTGCTTTAAATGTGTCCCAGAGATTTTGGTATGTTGTGTCTTTGTTCTCATTGGTTTCGAAAAATGTCTTTATTTCTGCCTTCATTTCATTATTTAATGCTTGGTAAATCTTCCTCCATCCCTTTATTTTGAGCTGAGGTGTGTCTTCGCATGTGAGATGGGTCTCCTGAATACCGCACACCAATGGGTCGTGACTTTTTATCCAGTTTGCCAGTCTGTATCTTTTGATTGGGACACTTAGCCCATTTACATTTAAGGTTAATATTGTTACGTGTGAATTTGATCCTGCCATTTTCATGCCAGCTGGTTGTTTTTCCCGTTAATTGATGTAATTTCTTCATAGTGTTGATGGTCTTTACAATTTTTGGTATGTTTGTGCAGTGGCTGGTACTGGTTGTTCTTTCCATGTTTAATGCTTCCTTCAGGAGCTCTTGTAAGGCAGGCCTGATGGTGACAAAATCTCTTAGCAGTTGCTAGTCTGTAAAGGACTTTATTTCTCCTTCACTTATGAAGCTTAGTTTGGCTGAATATGAAATTCTGGCTTGAAAATTCTTTTCTTTAAGGATGTTAAATATTGCCCCCTACTCTCTTCTGTCGTGTAGGGTTTCTGCCGAGAGATCTGCTGTGGGTCTGATAG